TATTGTTGGCAAAGGATGTTCAGATTCTAGTTGTAATGCTCTTTTAAAAATTATATTATTTAGATTTATTATTATTCCCATGACTCCTACCTTACTTTAAACATTGTGCAGTGAATGCTGAGCTCCTTTCCAAAGAGCTCAAAAAAAGGGAAAGTTAGAGTTAAACATCTGCTGTGTATACAAAATGGCAATGTCGAAATGTGAAACATCCAGGAAACATCAATTAAATAGTTATAGTTTTATATTTGTGCTGTTAAAATACTGAGTAACAGTAGAGAAAAACTTATAGGGACCAATTAATAACAGATATTATGAAGCTATGCGGTTACTGTGTGGAGTTAAACACTATTCTTTCCCCCAAATGAAGCTGATTTTTAGTTAGGATTACAATCCTTTTACTAATTGATTTACAATTACTTAATTTATGTATATGAATCTACCAAAAGGTAAAATGTGACCTAACTTTTAAAATATGAAAGGCATTTTCACTTATATCAGAAATCATATTAAACTTGCTTCCAAATATTTCTCTTCTCAGTGACAGATGTTTCTTTTGATTATCAGTGTCTTGGTAGTCTGAAAAAAGAACATAAAAAAAGTAAATCTAGGATATATAATCAGAGGTATGTCTAGAAAGTAACGTGACTGATTTGTCAATAAGCAGACGAGGCTTTATATATTCAAATGAACATTGTATTTCCAGGCAGCCACTTTGGGAGATCAGACACATTTTAGTGGTACTGCCATTGCTCAAACATTTCAAACTTCTTTAGAATTGCTCTCAGAAATAATTTATGAACCATACAAGACTCAAGCTCATACACCTCACATAGCAGTAACTTGAGGCAAAGCAGAATAGAAAAATTATAATTTTCTCTTTGCTTTTGTTTATAAAAATAAATTTAAATTTTAAATTATTTAGGCTCCAAATAAACTGGTTATATAATCCTATTATATAAATCTCTGAGGGCATTTGTAAAAATAATTATCTTCTCCCTCTTTTAATTAGAGTAGGAACATAATATATACTAATAATCAGAGCAGTTGTGCTGGGGGCTGTCATGCTCATCAATTCTCATTCTTGTTGGTCTCTTATTTTCCCACTGATCACTTTGGTAAATTCCACATCATTTTGTCACTTCTTGTTCTACTTAATTTTTTGTTATCTGACTTCTTTGAGACTCTTTATTTTTCCCAAAATGCTATAAACAGTGTTCCTAAAGAAAAGACCACACCTTTCTGTAACCTTAGTTTTTCTCTGACATTGTGCTATGTCTTCTTCTGATGCTTATTTTCCCCTTTTATTTCTAAAATTTATGCATTGCTCTGCATTAAGCAAGTACAAAAATGTTTAAATATCTACTGAATAAATAAGTAGGTGAGCCCATGATTTTCTTCTCTGTTCCCTGTTCCATTTCCTTTGCACAATGAAATTCAACAGATGTAGCACTCATGCCACTGAAATACCAACTCCTGCACTTACCTAGCTCCATCTCTGCAACTTTGTGGTTACAGACTTAGGCAAGTTATGGAGCCTCTTCCAGTCGTGTTTTCCTCATATGTCAAAAGGTCATAAATAGATAGTCTGTCTCATAGAATGATGACCAATGAGAAAAGGCTTGAGAAATTCTAATACATGTGTTCAGTGAATTTTAGCTGTCATTAATTCAAGTCCTTAAATATTTTAACTATTGATTTTTTTGCCTAAATCATTCATGACATTCTCACATGGATATCATGCATCAATTCAGCATATTTTTTTAATTATAAACATTTTTTGACAGCTGTATCAAGTTGAAATGTTATGCTTTTAATTGCATTATGCAAGTTCAAGAATTCAATTCTTATTAACCTTTTCTCTTAGCTTTCATGGTGAAGTGTAAAGAAAAGCTTATTTTTTATGTTAATAGGAGGTTTCGTATACATTTAGAAGCATTTTATTAAGTATGTTATGAAGATGCTGCAACTTCTGACAGGAAAGTTAATCAAACTCTGTCTAAATATTCTGTGGGTTTCTAAACGTTCTTTCATGTGTTACTCTCCCAACCCTGCTTTCCCTTTGATATTGCTGTGAACTTGTTCCATTTACCCTCCCACCTCTCTACACTGGCACTACACTCTTGTTGTTTAGTTTGCCATCCTTCTATAGCCACACTTATCCCCTTTTAAATTTAAGTTTATTTATTTATTTTTTATTTTGGTATGACTGGGAATTGAACTAGGTGTAGCTGGGATTACATGCACCAACATTCCTGACCATTTTTAAATCAAATTATTTCACATTTTATTAAAATTTCAAGAACAAAGAACTATGCTACTTTTTAAAGGAGAACATTAACTACAGACTTCAGCTATCCAAATCACAATAAATAAATAAATAAACATGTGGATCGTAAGTGCAACAGGAGACATTTACTTAATTCATAAGCCAAAATTTAAAAAAATAAACTTTGATTCAGCAAATTCCTCTTCACTTTTCAATTATCTTGATCAACAAATAAGAACTGTATATGGTTACAACATGATGTTTGACTCTCCCACCTTTATTCTCCCATCATTGTTCTCACATTCTTCCAATTCATTCCAAACTATTTCCAAAATTATCAATTTCATACCCCTGAATACAGTTTTATACTCCAATGCTATCTGTTATGATCTCTTACAGGTTGTAAGCATTTAAGGATTTGTGCAGTAAATTTCATATCCATTAGTTTCATGATGGAAATATTGTCCCCAGGATCATTTATTATTATTATAGCCATGGCTCTCTAAAAGTTAAATATAGGGAAAGAACAAAACAAGCATATATATATATATACACATATATATATATAATATATATATACACATATATATATATATAATATATATATATATTATCACTACGTATTGATCCACGGTTACTTATGAACTACTTATGGCTTAGGTTTCAAAATGTATACCTATTTTACCACATTCTTATGTTCCTTTATGGATTTTAGAGACCTGAGTTACCTGGATGTATGAGACTCCTATTGCTGCTATAATAAGCTACTACAACTTTGTGGTTTAAAATAATGTATTTATTAGCCCAGAATCCAGGGGGCTAGAGTTTAAAATCAGCCTCACTGGACTCAATCATCATGTTGGCAGGGCAGGTTGCTTCTGGAGAATCTGCGGAGAGCTCTTGTCTTTGACAGCATCTAGGGTATACATGTATTGCTTAGCTCATGGTCCTTTCTCATATCACTTTGACAACATGCTTCCACCTCACATATCCTAGTAAGCACTTTAACCCTCCTGCCACCCCCTTAAAGGGGTCCCAGACAATTACACTTGGTTCACTAGAATAATCTAGGATAATCAACCCCCACTCCTTTCGCCATGTAAGATAACATTTTCACATTCTCTAGGTACTCAAAAGTTAATATTGTTGGAGAGGCATTGTTCAACCAACCTCACTGTGGAGAAGGCTCTGAAAATGGAGTCTGAATACCCTTGAACAAAATGCAGGTGTCCCACCAATGTCTATACTTGGCAATTGTTTACTGAGGAGCATTGAACATTATCAAGAACCATCTAGCCAAGAAAAAACTTTAGTTCCTCACTTACACATTGTATTATGGACCTTCATTTTGGTAAAAAAAAAATCTAATTCTTAGTTTTTCTGAACAAAGAAAAGAAGATTGAAAGGAATAGAATGTACACATTAAGCAGGTAATAATTGCAGTTTGTAAAAGGATTTATGAGATAGACATACTTGCAATTTCATTGAACTCAGAAATTTCAACTTTATTTTAATGTAAATAATCCTTTTCTTGGCTTCTATTTCTTATACAACTTGCATTTTTTTTAATCTATGGGACCTATAAATTTTGGTGGTTTATTTTCAAAAATGTAATATTCTCAATAACGATATAATATTTTCAAACAGATATTTTTCTACAGCAAAACAAAAAGCCAAATATGTTTAGTGGTTCAGTTTTTGCATCCCATAAGAACATTATTTAATATTGCTTGAATTAACAAAATGAGTTGAGCTGATTGATGACGTCTTAATTATACACTGACTTCTTAGGTCATCTTCTACTTCTATCAGTTTCATTAGAGTCACTAATATATTAGGCATTTCTATAATGGAACTAAATGGGGATACTTCAATTTCAATCAGAGAGAAGAAAACTTTCTTCTGCCTGCTTTTGCTTTCTTTCTTCCATCCTCAAAATTGTCAATCTTTCAGCAATATTTAATTTACATTGAGAGTTTTAGATATGCATATATATTTATCTTGGCAAAATTTTACTGTGAAAGAATTCTATCTTATTGAGAAAAATTCTTGATGAAGCATGGACTTACAAAACATTGGCTAGACCTAAAAATGTCAGTACATGACCTTTATTTTGATAAATATATTGGCATTAGTATCTTAAACATCAGCAATGTATAAAGAAATATTAGCATAAAGCTTCATGAGATTCATGAATAAAAGTAATAGAGAAATAATGCTATTAAGCTATGAAAATTGCATAAATTTCAAGGAAAAGTATAATACTGTGCTAGAACATTTTATTCCATGAAAAAAGATTTTAAACTAGTAAAGCATCATACTTGTTTAAAATAAGATATTACAAGTCAAACCTTCCTCATGCTTTATGAAAATCAAGGAACAAAGAAAACAAAATGATCTTTTAGACAGATGAAATAAGAAAGGTGAATATTAAATATGTATGTAAAATATATAGTAATATACTTGAATAGCTTACAAATGACAGTTGTCTTATAAATGTATGTATGTGAACTTAAACTTTCAAGTGGAATAGATATTTGTAATGCCAGACACAGAAATGTCACATTTATTCAAAAAATTATTTGTTAATTAGAAGTTTGAACATTTTGACCAGAGAAAGTTAACAACAAAATAAAAAAGGTGAGAATATCATGATTTAAAGAATGGCAATTTGTAACCTAGGGGATAGGTATTTGCATACTAACTGTAATGTTCCCTCTGTCACCATCTTCAGCCTGAAGATCAATCAGAAAGAGAAAACCAGTATCACCTGTGACAGTCAGAGAGTGGACAAAAAATGCCAGTGAAGTGAGTCTCTGTTTAACTATCTTTATCTCAGATGTACAAATGAACATTCTGATCTTCATTAGTCTAGATGCTTTGTTTCCTTCATTTATCATAAATATGCTAATTGTCTTTCTTCCTGATTTTTCTCCTTTCTCTATTTTCTTCTTCTTTTCTGAAATATGTTAAAAATGTGTGGCTTGCTTTCTCGATAAACAAAGGTTGTAAAGTGGAGAAAGACCATTGAGTTCTCTTTATTTGATGTGTTTCAAAATTACAAGATGAGTTAGCAATATAACTTATATATGATCATCATAGGAATTATTTATTATCACAATCTTTATTGAGAAACTTTTACAAGGAATATTAAATGCTAGATGAGGAAGCAGCTGTCACTTCCTCGGGCACATGGACTCCTCGCTTGAATTTTCCATTCTCCAGCAAACTGCTAATTAAGTGTGAACGGCTAAGTTGTTGGATCCCACATTTTTTAATGCAATACAACTGGTTCTAGCTGGCACAATTAGCAACCTAACTGGTAGCTTTCACGCAGTTCCCATCTGGCCTGGCTCTTCTCCGGACATATAATATGGGTACTGTGGCCTTGAAGGCACTTGCTTAATAAAGAAAACAGACAGGAAATCAGCCAAAACCCCATGAAATAACTAAGTGCAATTTTGGCTTCAAATACACCATGAATTTTCACAGCAAATCATACACACACAAAGTTACTATGATTATGCATCAGAATTTTGTAGGAAATACACACACACAGACACACACATACACACACACAAAGAATCAGAGAGCACCTCTGCTGACATTATAAATAAAATGGGAAAGGATGTAACGACAAAGTGGCATACTATTCATTTGTCTAAGATAACAAACAAATAAAACACCAATCAATCCAGTACAGATTTAGATCAGCCAATCTTTTTCCCTAATTTTATTCTGTAAATTTCTTTTCTAATATTGCTACATACTCACTTTTTAAATGAAAAATAATATTTCTCATTTGCAACTAACCCAAGAAATATTTTATTTTTTGACAATGCACAAACTTTACATGTAATGTAGTGTACAATTTGTGCAAACTTTCTATTGAATAATGAATTAACACAATTTGACTTTTATTTAGAGCAAAAACTTGAGTGAACTCAATAGAGTCACTTTCAAGGTATTTGCTATATATGCTACAAAAAAGGTATAGAAGCAGGCATTTATGCACTGATGTATACATTTTATCAAAAAGTATGAAAATAGGGTTGAGCAGAATCACCTGCACTATCCATGACTGTGTATGGGGTATTATAACAGTTACTAGTATATCTAATCCTCTGTACTCATTGTTAATATGGGAATAAAGTGAAATCTCATTTTCAAGATGAAATGAGATGTGGTATGTAACATGCTTAACATAGTCCAGAGTACACTGTAAACATTGAAAGCATTGTTCTACAGTCTAGTGCTATGATAAATAGTATCTTTCAGTTTATTCATGAACACCAAAAATTTTCTCTTCCACAAATTACAAATATGAAAAAACATAAAAATTTAAATGACAATGAATAAAGATTATTCCTAAAATATTTATATCACCTAATTTCTGAATGGTAAATACTGAATTACCTCAAATGCTCTCAGAATACTAAATATTCAAAGTTAAACTTTGTGGTCTATTGTTAAGTTCTTTGAAACTAATACAATTTAGCTGCCTTTTTCAGTAATCATTTTGTCACAGAAGTCTGCTGTTCTATTGAAGGTTTTAGTAGCTGCCATTATATAGGGTTTGGTCATCCATTAGCTATTTTTAATATGGTCAACAAGTATTTCTTGAACTAGTCAAACTGACTTTTCTCAATGTTGAAAAATAACTTTTTACTGTGTCATTAGAGAAATACACATGAATAGGGAAGTAGGTGTTCATCCTTGAATGAATTTGCCTGGACTCTACTTCTCAGTGTTTTCCTTGGATGACTGTTCTTCATTCAAAAACAGATGTGCTGTGTGTCCAGGCTCCTCTCTCCTCATTCATTAGCATATATTCCACAGCTACTCAGTTACTTTTAATTTGAATACCATGCTAACAACTAAATTTCAGTCATCAAATAGGTATATTTTTACACCAGTACATTTCAAGTGATTGTGATCATTTCAGAATTTCTACAACACCTAATATTTGAGTTTTGTGAAATACAACACAAGCTTTTACAAGTAACGGCTTGTATGAATGCACAAAGATCTTCAAATCAAGGATTTTAGTTTCGTCCTCCATCTGTGAAAGGATGGAAACTAAACAATCCAAATCTTTTGAAATGCCCATTTTAATGAAAAAACACAATTTCAAAATGCTTTCCTAGATAATCTTGTGTCCATGAGTTTAGTAAGTCAGGGAAAATCAGTGGCTCATAAGTGGAGAAGTTTAGTGATATGAATTGTACATAATGGAGAACGGCAAAATGAATTCCCAGTCACATAGTGTCCTTCCATTTGAAAATGCTCCTAGTACTGTGCTAACAGCAAGGAGAACAGTAAATCCTAATAAGTATTTAAAAACCACAGCAAATTATAAGAAATAACAGACTTCACACTATCATTTTTAAGATTTCCACTGCGATGTGAAAATGCAAACTTTTTTAAGGGTGACTGGATATTGGACTCCTGCTATTTTATTATCAATCATTGAATATAAATGTGAAGTTAGCTCATCTCTTCCCATAACTATGCTTTTGTACATCACAGCTACACAATCCAACTTGTTTTTTTTTTTCTGACAAACTGAGGCTTTCTGTGGATGGGAGTTTATTTCATCAGGATTTTTCTTTATTAAGGGGAATAATGCATGATATATTTGCATCTCAGAAAGTTTGCATTGCAAGCCTAACTTATTATTTCTACATCACATCCTCAAAAGAATACATACTTCAGAAGACTTACATCTATACATTTTTGGCTGCTTTGGAAAATATATTTTCTGTCCTGAAAGATTCCTAAATTTAAATAAATCTATCCAGAACTAGGTGAATACCAGTCTAAAGAGAAATAAAGTCTGGCTCAGAGTGAAAATACTTTTCAAAACGCTATGATCAAACATTTTCAAAGTCATCACATTCGAAATCCTGAAAATTTTTGTTAACTTTTTTGGGATTCATAATTATGAAATGGACAATTTGTATACAGTAAAAACTTAGAAGATAGTTTATTCTTCATCACTGCAAGGAGAAGAAATTTTCAAGAGTAGATCAGAGTGATGGCATATAAATTAACATTTATATGTTCATGGCTCTGAAGAAATTCACTATTACTCCACAGAACCAGTGCTTCTAGTTCCTTATTAGAATTTAAGAATTCAAAAATATTATCAACACTGTTGGCTAGATTAATAACTAATTTGCTGATGTCAAATTACATCCTGCTTCCTGTTGCTATATCTGTCCACTATGGAAAAGCATGATATAATTACTATTGACCTTTTACTGTTTGATTAATGGCAAAGTTAATTTATATGATGTAATTAAACACATAGCTGTAACTCAAGTATTACTATAGGTTATGAAAAAAAAAGATCACAATGCTATTGTCAGGGATAGATGTTGTTTCTACAGGTCACCAGCTACAGAAGCACTGGCATGGTCTGAAAATATGGACACGCTTTTAGCCAACCAAGGTAAGAAACAAGTAACAATATGTTGAGAAAGACAATAATTGAATGTGAACTGTTCAATTTTGAAAATGGCAATCACATTATAAAATATAAGTTTGATTGATATTTTAAGTATAAGACTTAACGGTCTCGTGAAGTTAAATCTCCAAAGTCTAAAGGGAATTAAGTTGGGTATAAGATAAGTTTGTAGATATTCCATATATGAAAACAAAAGGAATTTTTCAACTAGTGAGTGAGAAGTTTTCTATTTCCTTAGTCTCACCACCATTTGATGTGCATAATAAGTGCCTGCCTTTGGTACAGGTCGAAAGAAACACAGAAACTGAAAGTTTAAATAAATCCCTTGTTTTCTACATCCTGTAAGCTCAAATAAAAAGGATTTTAATGCATGTATTTAAACTGAATCACTTTCCTTTTACAGAGTACATAAATATATTTAAATATATGTATATATGAATATAAATGTGTCTATATATTTATATTTAATAAGAAGTGTCAATAGGTAATTTTGATTAATTATAAATAAAATATTCTGCTTATCGAAATGAAATAGTTGTTTACAAAATAATCACAAGGGTATCTACAACTTCTGTTTGTGTTATAATCTACCTTACACCATTCTGGCACAACCAGGGAGCTAGAACTTCCTTTTCCTTCCTTCCCTCCTTCCTTCTTTTCTTCTCCTTCCTTCCTGCTTTCTTTCCTTCCTTCCTTCCTTCTTATATTTCTTTCTTTCTTTGTTCTGTGGTAGTGGAGGTTGAACTCAGAACTTCATGCTAACTAGGCAAGTCCTCCACCACCATGTCCCCATTGCCTTTGCTTTTTCAGTATGTCTTTTAAGATAAGGTCTTTACCCAGACTGTCCTGTGCTGCAGTCCTCCTATACCCACTTCTGGATGAGCCGGGTTTATAGGCATGATAACCATTCTTGCCTAGAGACAGTGCTTATATTTAAGACTGTTCATATTAATGGGATGACATTTCCATTTTAAGTTAATAAAGTAAAAAAGTATCAGAAAATGTTGATAAATGATAAAGCCAAATAAATTCTTCAGTGCATTGTATTCATATAGAAAGTTAGATTGAATTAGGCAAATTTAGATAAAATTTATTAATCTTAAATGACTAACTCCTAAAACATTAGCATAAGTAATCCACATAACTTCCACAATCCAACTAAGGATATATATTAAGTATTTTAAAGATACGAAGTTTTGAATGGCGTGTTTCTTTTTTTTTCTTTTTCTTAAGGGTATAATCCATGAGACAGCTCAAATTTGTTGAGTCTCTGTTGGTTGTAACATAGCAGGCTTCAGAGCAGAGAGCTTATATAAGGCAGCACTACAAAACAGAGGCAAGGAGGGCCCTGAATGAGGGCGAACACTGCCCTCTGCAAACTTCCTGGAATTTTCTTTTTAATACTACATAAAGTAGCAGCATCATAGATTGATCTAAATGGTTGTTTGGTTTTGCTTTTACAAGTCCAGAAAAATAGCAACAGCATGCATACTTTTTAATACTTTAAATACCTAAAAGATTCACCAAATTACCTGCTTTTGTCAACTTGAGAAAATACTTTGTATATACTGGCCATGAACTTTCCTTCATGTAGTTTTTACTTTCTATTGCTGACCTGCTCCATTTAACACCCTCTGCTATATCTAGCAGAAGTAGCCTTTCCATTCTATGTACTCCCCTCTAATAATGACATTAATTGTATGCAGTGTACCATTCCAAAGTCATTTGGCATCTTTTGAATATCCAAGTTGCATGCAAAGAATGTGAAGGTAGGTCAAAGAAATACTGTGTCCAAGACAGAGATAATTCATCCCTGCTTGAGTTGTTTAAGCAGCTTATTCTGTTCCCTTGCATGCCAAACTAAGCTGTGGAAGGAATGTCTTGTTAGTTTTGAGTGGCCTTTCATTAAAACCGGAGAGAAGCAGAAAATAGTGAGAGTTTCTTGATCTCTTCCCTTATCTTTGGGATGCATTTAGAAAATCCCCCTAGAGAGAAAGCTTCATATGTCTTAATGACACACAAATAAAAAATTGCCAGGCATGAGCCTGCAGTATTTTTCAGTGTTATTAAAGTATTCTTTGTCCTGTATATATAAAATAAGCTTTAGCACAGACTCTGTTTAGACCTCTCAAATGCATCATTGTATGGACCACATTGAGGAATAATTTTAGTTAATTATTACTAAGAGGATTTTTATAACCTAAATTTCTATCCCAGAAGCTTCTTGGACATATTCTTAAATGCAAGAAATGTGCAGTTAATTGAATTTTTATATAGTGCTTACTTATTAATGACATCAACACTCTCAAATATTTCTGAGAATTTTAATTGGTATCTGAAATCTTTTTCAGTGACTTGCTACTTTAACATTTCAAGAAATGAGAAAAAATGCTAAATCATTTTAATCCAATGTTTTTAGACACTTAAATCTTGTTCAGGAAAATATTTTCTTTTGCAAAATTTTACTTCAGCTTCCTACATGCAGAAACCTACAGAAAAAAAAAAACTGATTAGGCTCCTTTCCATGAACTTTTTTCTTTATTTTCTTTTCTCTGGCCACTTTTTCCTATTCTCTGATTCTTCATTAAACTTCCTATTCCCCACCTTGGAAACTGAAGCATTAGCTCTCAGCCTGCAGCTGGGGAGCTGCTTTGAGCACATGCAAAGGGGCTCTCATGGCAGGTGGAGGAGGAAACCACCAATGTTTTGGAAGGCAAATTCTTCTGAGTGGCAAAAGCACCAATGTATGTTTTCCTCCTGATACATATACAGCTTCAGCTATGAGGAGACACTGCCATCAGAAGAATGAGACTATGAATCTGAATAACATGACCTTAACACATTGAATTAGTTTGGTCAACAGAGGGGAAATAAATATGATCTTTCTAACCTTCTATCTAACCAACGTAAACTCTTAACCATACTCAGTCCTAGAATATTTAGCAAGAATCACCATCTCAAATGAGCTGCAGGTATCTCTCAGGGCAGCAGAGAAGTCAGGGTTTTAACAGTGTTCGCAAATTTGAATGTCTGTCAGAGCAGGGAATGATGGTGTATAGTTGTCTGGAGGTTAGAAAAGGGGAAGGTGCCACATGGAATCACAGAATATAAGACATGACTGTGGGCCGGCCACTGGTGGCCCACACCTATAATCCTAGCTACTCAGGAGGCAGAGATCAAGAAGATAGAGGTCCATAGCCAGTCCTGGACAAATAGTTCTCAAGATCCTATCTCCAAAATAGCCAACATAAATAAGAGCTGGTGGAGTGGCTCAAGTGGTAGAGCATCTGCTTAGCAAGCATGAGGCTCTGAGTTCAAATTCCAGTACCACCAAATAAAAGACCTGACTATGCTTATTAAACTTTAAAAAGTGCATATACTAACCAAGACAAAGGAAATGAACCTGCAAGTCAGTGTGACCATTTGCAGCCTCGTCTCTAAATGCACCAGAGAAACTCTTGCTCTGGTGCATACCAGGAAGCAGTTGAGAATCAGCATGCCCAACTACCATGACGGAGAAAGGAAGACATCAATATTTTACTAAAGCAACATTGAAAAAAGCCCTTTGTTTCCCTTACCGAATTAAAATGCCTATTACCAAATAAAAGGGAGAAGAAGCATACACACTGACTTGCTGCTAGTCACTTTCTTGGCCTAAAGATTTCATTTGTCCACTGTAGTTACACAAACTATATAGTTACACAAACAAAGGGCCAGCATCGTCCCTGGCGATCTATGCCCAAGCCAACACAGCTTCATCTTCAGTATCAAACTGCATTTCCTCACCAACTCAAGAAACAAAGATATTTTTACTTGGAAGATAGTATATCATTAACTTGACCTAAAATCATTACAAAATTAGATCTAAAGAATGAAGTCTTTAGGGTTTCCTATGAAGTAATCTTCAAGACCTTTTGAGCATACCTCCTAGACTCTTATCTAGAAAGAAGAAATACAGCTTTTCTTCCTTAATGGAGTTAACTAAAGAAATACAGGCACACATATATTAAGGTTATAATTATAGATCAAACATAAGGTTTTCTAAAGTTAGAAACTGGAACACACAAATGTTATAACAAGCAGGGTGATAATTATTTGCCAATGAATCCTTAGTAAATGCTCATACTACACAATGTACTCATTTGGGCCATATTACTGCTCTGTATGATGTTTTGCAAAAGTTTATCTTATATGTTTTATAGCTGGTCTAGATGCTTTTCGAACATTTCTAAAATCAGAATTTAGTGAAGAAAATGTTGAGTTCTGGCTTGCGTGTGAAGACTTCAAGAAAACAGAAAGTGCAGAAAAAGTTGCTTCCAAAGCTAAAAGGATTTATTCTGAATTCATTGTGGCTGATGCTCCTAAAGAGGTGAGTGAGGCACTTCAGGATGTTGAAGACTCAGCCCCTATTGGATGTGTTCCAATTAGAAGCACATTTTTAAAACCCATTTGAAGGGTCATTAAATCACCCCTATGGTTTCCTATGGAAAGCATCAGTAAACTCTTAAAGACCAGAATTCTTTAAGATGATCCTCTGTTTTTTATTGACTAAGCAAATATTTTTCAACACCTGCTAAGAGACATATCTGACCAATATTTCTCTTTGTGTTTCCACATTCAGACTTTTGAAAAATAGTGTCTAATGTCTCAAATTAAACAACTGTAAAGTCAACTTAACAGAAATCCTGTTTAAAAGATTGTTGAATTTCTAATGTATTTTCATTTTCCCTTTGGAAACCATGGAGTGAAATAAAGTCAATTTTCTATAGCATTCTTGAATTCCCTTTTTAAAGATTAATACCTAGTCACCAACAACATAAATTTTTCATTTCTTATTATTTTAGAAGTCCACTTTGTGGTCTATAATAATGTCTTACTTTCTAAAATGGGGTTTTCCTTATCTCCTTTGGGGAGTTGGGGGTGCTGTGGATTGAGCTACAACCTTGGGCATGTTTTGCAGGGATCTACCAATATCGAAAGACATCCTTTTCACTATGATGCTGGATTGTGTTTCCTTTTTTATGAGTCTAAATTAATACTGGTTGTTTTAGGATAAATTATTAAACATTGTCTATAAACAGTCTTCTAACAAGAAATAAAGGATTAGTTGCAGCTGAATTCAAAGTAATAAATTATCAATTTTGACAAGGTTGTTTTATTTCTAAACTTTCCTTCCAAAATGAATGTATGCAGTATTAGTTTAAGTAAATAGTATAACTATTATTTTAGTATATAAATTTATACATTTTCATAGTTCACCCATGTAATTAATCTTGACTAAAGTATAACTTAATTTATGGCATTTTTTTAGTATTTCCCCTTGAACAGTTTCTAAAAATGTGTAATAGTTATGACGAAATTCATTGAAACAAAGTATATATACATGTATGCACAAAGTATATATATATATGTGTGTGTGTGTGTATGTACACACATAGCATGAAATCATTGCTTCCTATTATTTCCCATTAATTGACAATTTAGTTGTTGACAATTTAAAGTGCATTTGCCTTTCATATTTTATACCAAATGCTGCCTTCAAAATATTTCAGTGCTATAAATTTCAATAGCATGTACAGAAACGTGTTTAAAGAGAAAAAGTGTTGAAATTTCTTAAAAACTTTTCTACATGGTATAAATCCTGAACATATCTCATTCGTCATTCCCTTCTGTTACATGTAGATGTATTATCTTGCCTTTTATAGATGAGGAAACTGAAGCACAGAGAGATGAAATAGCCCTCTTACCCAGTAAGAACCTGGGAGTGGCAAAGAAAATCGCAATTCTTAGACAGCATTGACCCTTCTTTCAAATTGGACCACTAATTTCATAAAATTTGAAAATATTCAAAGAAAAATAGTTCTGGTTGGCTAAGGGAAATTTTTATCTTAGAATATTTCTTTTGCTTTCCTTAGAAAAATTTTAAATGATATTTTATATTTCCCTACAACACTGACATATTTATATATTTATAATATATTTTTGATGGTACTAGGGATTGAACACTTGGCCTCATGTTTGCAAGGCAGGTTATCTACCATTTGAACCACTTTGTCAGTGCTTCATGGATTGGTCATTTTTGAAACAGGGTCTCACTTTATGCCCAGGTTAGCCTGGACTATGTTTCTCCTCATACAGCTGGGATGACAGGCCACTTTGCCCAGCTATTGGTTGAGATGATATCTCACCAACTTATTGCCCACGCTGGTCTCAGACTGTGATCCCCCTTGGTCTCCCCTTCCATTGTAGCTGAGATTAAGGGTGGGGGCCACAACAGCCCTAAATGTTTATAATGTTCCCTTATATTGAAAAGAAGATTGGTCATAAGAGGATGGGAAATATTCATTGAAGAGCAAATTATTTATGTTGATTGTTATTCTGTGAAACTATAAAATAGTATCAAATCACTCCACAGTGCAATAATTAAAACTTATATGAATTCAGGGGCTCAGAATCAGAGTACATACTTAACATGTGAAAGGTCCTGGGTTCAGTCCCCAGCACCAAAATTATATCTTGAGAGCTTGTTTGGAGGTTCTAGCAGGGGAGCGCAGCTACTCGTATACCCTTGACCGAAGAACGGTCCTCCTCTATCAGGGATGGTCGTCCTCTTCGACCGAGCACGCAGCTTCGGGAGGGACGCACATGGAGCGGTGAGGGAGGAAGGGGACACCCGCCTAGCCAGCCAGATCAGCCTAATCAACCCTGGCGATCAATGGGGTGACAGATGTCGCAGCCAGATCGCCCTCACATCCCAAAATTATATCTTTATCTATATCTAGCTAGCTAGCTATACATATAAACACCAATCCAGGAGTTTCTTAATTCAACATATAGTTCAAAATTAGTGTAAAATACTTACTTCTACTATAAAAATTTTTACTTCTAGATTCAATTAAAGGTAAAGACATGAGTCCTAAAACAAAAATATATCCATAAACAAGATATTTTCATAGGTCTTTAATATGTGACACTGTAATATTTGTGTCTGGCTCCAGTTATTTTCAGGAGAGAATAACATTATTTATTGATTACTAAATAACAGAATATGCTTATTCTACACAAACTATTTATCTCCTAAAATGAAAATCCTTGGATAGAATGAAATCTTAGTCTAAGAAAAACAGAATAAACACATAACACAACGTGTTGTAGCAGGCAGCCCTCAATAAGAAGATGTAAGAAAATAAATTTAGTTGAAACTATGATTTGTACCAAAAGATAATTGGCTCTAGTATTAAGAGTGTTTCTTTAATTATTTGTGTTAAAATATAATTGTGTTAAAATGAACTTTATAGAATTAAGAAAAATGGCAAAGCAATAAATTGTTATGCGCAAAAAAAGATGAAATTGCATTATATTTGAAAGGATATAATGGTGGAGTAGTAGTAACACAGAGTATTAAAATAAATCCTTTATTTTAAATATAGTTAGTTTGAAACCAAATCTTGAGGGAAGAGATAGATATTTGAACTATCAGTAGAGAGAACTCTATAACTAGTCATCTAGAAGGATTACATATTGTTAGTAATGCCAATTTTATTCTCCATTCTGTAGTCTTTTTATTTTTGCATTTTCAAATGTATCTTCTCCAATGAGCTAAAGTTATATCAAGACTTATTTCTATTATGCTAGTAGCCAACAGTCCATCTCCAACTATAGACAGATACAATGATTTTGTTTATTTATTAATTTCCAAAGGCTTCATTTCTTAATTGATAGTTGAGTTTCTATTGTGCACTATGCTGTTAAACCTAAGGAAAGATAAGACAGTCATTGTCCCTGAATAGATAAACAAACTATATGGATTGGAAGAATCCAGTTTAAAAAAATTTACAATAAACTTTCATGAGCATTTTGACAGGAACATACAAAGTGAGGTTGTAGTATGCAACAGAAAAACCCAAATTTGGGAAATCAGGGAATGTAACTCAAAAGAAGTATTTAATAAGCACTAACCAGAAATTTGAGTATAGACAGAAATAAGACAAGAGAAGAAGGGGGAGGTTAGGAGAACAAGAAGAAGAGTCAAGCAAAAGACTTATCACTGCTAGATTAGGCCAACAGTGAAAGTGGCTAAGTGTTGTATGACTGACAGTATATTGAGCCAGCTACACTTTCTGGATTCCAATGATTTGGGTGTTCTTGTTCATTCCATTTCAAAATAAAGGGATCTCTCAGAAAGAAAGAAAATTTTGAGTATGCATGGCTGTGTGTGTGTATGTGTGTGTGTGAGAGAGAGAGAAAGAGAGAGAAAGAGACAATGAGAGAAAGAGAGAGAGAGACACACAGAGAGAGACAGAGACAGAGAGAGACAGAGAGGCACAGAGACACAGAGTGCAGAACCAAAGAAACTGTAAGGAACCTGCACAGTGCTCTCACATGGACTACTCATTTCATTGCCACCTTCACTGTCTTAGGGAAGTACTATCCATGTGTTACAGGTGAACAATGAACTGAACTTCAGAGACAAAATATTGAGCCCTGCAGTCATTAGAGCCCCAGAGGAAGGAGGTCTTTAGTCCATGATTTTACATTTCAGATTCCTTTCCTGGATCTACTATTCATTTTTAAGTATTTGTGACATAGCTTGTGAACTTTCATGTTTATGCTAGAGGCAGAAGTATAAAATTATCTTGTCACATAGAAACTATTTTCTTTTATTTATAAAACCTTATTTCTCCTCTTATTCTCTTTCTCTCTAATTTGTATCACTTCTTAAACTATAAAAATCCAGATTTACAAATGGCATTCAGAGGAAAAACTTGTTAGTAACATTTCTGAAAATAATCTGCAGAATCATTTGTTCTGCATTTCAAGTTAAAACCAAGAAATTCAGTCATTTTTAAAATTTCCCTGTGCCACTTAACTTTGGACTACTGTGTTGGGGTTGGTGCAGAAAATCAGTCAATCTGACTCTCTTTCATCTGTTTTGGTGTAGCTGTAGCATTCATACATCTATTTTTCACAATCTGTGCGCACTGATTTTATACATGTCATCTCCTCTTTGCAACAGAAGTTAGAGAGACATCTGGTTTCTACTCAGTTCCGTTTTTATTTTGACTGCTTGTCTAATTAATAGAAGTATGTTTGAATTCTACTTTCCTCCATTTCTCTTAACCATGTTAAGTATTAGTACTCCTTCCCAATGTGACATCTACTTCTGTTGCCAAAGTCAGTGACAACAAGTGGACACAGTTCTGCCCAGGAATGGATTCCTTCTAGATGTTGCAAACTGCTGTTTTCAGCTTTAATATTCACCCTTGAGAATATATTTCAGTATATTCATTTGTCTTTAATGATGCCAAAAATTAGCAAGATTAGAAGTGTTAGTGGTGATTAAATAGAATTTGGTAACCAAAAACATGA